GGGCGTGGACTCACCTCCCTCTATTACCATCTCCATACAAGAATCGGAGATTGTTCGTGACTTTGTGTACCTTGGCTCAACGATCTCTGACACTCTCTCCCCAGATGTTGAGCTGGATAAATGCATTGGAAAAGCAGCTACCATGTTCTCTAGACTCATAAAGAGAATATGGCTTAATAAGAAGCTGACGGCATATACCAAGATCCTGGTCTATAGAGTCTGTGTTCTGAGCACACTCCTGTACTGCAGTGCGTCCTGGACCTTTTGTGCATGACAGGAGATGAAGGTGAACACATTCCATATGCATTTTCTCTGATGAATGTTTGGTTTCCCCTGGCAGGACAAAATTCCAAACAGAGTAGTCCTAGAACGAGCTGGAATTTTTAGCATATATACATTACTGAAACAGCATTGTCTACGTTGGCTCGGGCATGTCGTGAGAATGGCTGACAGTTGGATTCCAAAAGATCTCCTGGAGAATTAGTGCAGGGAAATTTCTCCAGAGGGAGACCACAGCTGCAATACAAGGATATCTGCAAGTGGATCTGAAGGCCTTAGGAATGGACCTTAACAGATGGGAAATCTTGACATCTGAATGTTCAGCCTGGACGCAAGCGGTGCAGCATGGCCTCTCCCATTTTGAAGAGACTCTTGTCCAGCAGGCTGAGGCAAAGACACAGTCCTGAAACCAACAAAATCAGGCAGCTGGACAGGGGACAGCTTGTATTTGTCTTTAATGTAGAAGGAATTGTCACTCTTGAATTGACCTTCTCAGCCACACTAGATGCTGTTCCAAGACCTCTATTCAGAGCACGTTACCACAGTCTCTCTAGATTAGGATGCCTAATCTAACATTAAAAACAAGAATAGGCTGGAGGAAGACATGCAGTTTCCAAGACAGGTCCTGGTCCAAGTGAACAAAATAGAGGTACCTGAAGATGTGGTTCTGTGGCTGGAATCCCCAGAATTTTATCTAAGGAATTATTGGAGAATTCTTGGAATTGGTGTTAAAAAAACTCTGAATGGCACATCCATATTAGAGCATTCTTTGTGTTATCAGAAACCAGTAGTTTTCTGATATATTCACACAAACCAATGTCTGGCTCATCTGCAGTGGCAAGAGCCACCTATGAAGTGTGGTATTTTGACCACTTCCTTGAGTGCTATGATAATAATGGTGTGTACTGATGACGGAAGTGTAGGAAAACACCTCCCTCCCTCCCTCCCTCCCTCTCTGTCACACACATGCAAAAGTGCTACACAAGTCTAAATGTGTATTATTTTTGGAACGTCTTGTTGATAACAACAGTAAAAGAATGTTCAGACTTATACTAACTTTCTCTGAGCTGTAGGTTTTCATTTTGCACATCCTCCAACTGTTGTTTAAGTAGCTTATTCTGCACCTGTAACTCCATTTTCTCCTCTTTTAGTGTTGAATAATCTGAGACTTCTTTCAGTTTTTCCATCAACAACTGATTCTGCTTGCTTAATAATAAAACTTCGGCCCTGACAGTATCTACTTCCACCTGGAAATAAATATATTAGAAACACATTATTAACTTTCCAATATAGCAGATACTGTACACTAAAAAAACCTGGCTATGAAATGTGAAGACAATGCTCAAACATATACATATTAATTTAAATTATCTGAAGATCTTTTGATGAATTCTTAGCAAGTTATTAGCTTTCCAAGATAATAGCTATAATAAAACCTACATAATTTATTCCTCTAACACAGTGGTTCCCAACCTGCAAGTCGTGAAGACTTGTGGGAATTGCAGTCCAAGAACAGCAGGGTTGCTCAAGGTTGAGAACTACTGCTCTAACATGTGAACACAACAGAACTATATTGCTGGAACATCTAAATATCAACTTAACTTACCTGAAGGACTTTGGCACGTGATATAGCCTGCTCAAACTCTTGCTTTTTTGAATTAAGAGAAATCGTCTCCTCATGCAAAAGCTTAGACTTCTCTGGTCAGAAACAATGAAAGTCTTATATTAGATAGGCTTCAGATCAATATAAAGGAGACATATGTTTGCTTCCAAAAATATTGGTTACCTTTATATTTTCTCTCATCTTCAGCAATGTTCTTAGTTCTAGCTATGTATTCTTCCTTTAGTTCAAGCTGATACCTAAAGATGAGAATTATGTTTATTACAAAGTATACCTAGCAGATTAAAACACATTGCATTGACTTAGTACAAATAAATCCACCAATGCCTCAAAATAGGAAGGTTTAGAAATGATTAGAAAAAAGACAATTTCAAGTGTGGCAACTCACAACTAAGCATATAAAAACTACTACCCATTCTTTTTTTAAAAAAAATGCCTGGAACAGATTTCTATTGCCATATTACGTGAGAACCTAAAATGTTTCTTTTAAAAAGAACTGATAAATCCCAAAAATATTGCAAAAAGTGTGGATTTAACAAATGTATCCATAATGATTTTAACTGATCAACTTCAGCTTCTCTGTAGCTCTTATTGCTAAAGGAAGAATCATAATAATTTCATCCTGGATGACCAACTGTGCTCTAGCTTTTGATACAAACCAGACAGAGAATCTATCTGAAAAGGTCACAATTTTTCTTCACATGGCTTTTAAATAATTCGGCAGTCTGGGCATCAGTATTGAATTAAAAAAAATAATTCTGGGAATATTGTGAGTTTTGTTTTCTGCCGCTGTCTGTCTGTTGCTTTTACTTACCCTTTTCTTAATGTACACTGTTTTTAAAACAAAATATGGTTTATCATAAGCTGCCTATAAAACTTTGTGATATGAGGCAACATGCAAAAAATAATTAATATCCAATGGATACAAATGAACACACTTCTGAGTAACTATGCTTAGAACGTCCCTCTGTTTTTACCCCTCAAGTTCAATGTGTCTGTATACCTTGGGCAGCAATCTCTCTCTTTAAAGTCAGCCCTCTGACTGAACAGAGAGAATAAAATGACTGAAGTGTTATCCCTAACAATAGTACCCAGTCATCAGCAGGGTCTCTATTTATTTTCAGAAGTAAGCACAAGAACTGATGAGCTTGTTTTTTCCTGTTACTCTTTGTTCACCCAGCACACTTCCTTAGCTCCATAACATTTTCATTTCTTGATATGTTGTATTTGACAAGACGATGGAACTGCTTTTCTACACCTGAAGGAGACTGGCAAGTAAATTACTTTAGGAGTTCATTCTTTAGCTTCTGATCATAAGTATCTTCAATATTCTTCACAGCTACCTCACGACGGTGAAGCGCATCTTCAACCACTTTATTTTTTGATTCTTGAAGCTTTTGAGCTCTGGACAAAGAAAAGAAGCCAGGGATAATCATGAAAGAGGGCAAACCCAAGCAAAAGAACACTATCATACAACAAGAATCCTTGATTTGCCAAGTCTGGGGCTGAGCTATGGAAGTGAACCTTTTAAATTCCTGCTCTAAGTCCTTCCCTGCTGTGCTAGTAGAGCACAAGGAAGTCGAAATATGAGCACTGTTGCTCAGTAGGGGCGATTTTGGAAAATGTGTAAAGGGAAAAACACTCTTTCCTTTCATCTGAAACTTCTCTATAAAACACTGCATGGTACACACACACTACCCTAATTGTGCTCTCCTGCACAACTAGTTAGGGATTTAAGCATGCCAATCTCCATTCTTTCCATTCCCTCAATTTTGTTTTCTTCAGAAAGTACATCTTAGTAGCCAAATATACAACTACAGTCAAATAACTGAGTTCACCATTAGTATTTGTAAGATTTATTACACTTAAGATGAAGGATATGCACCCATCCCATCAACCCAGTCCATGCCCAAATAAGGGCACAAAGACTGATATCAACCCACCATAAGCCCTTATGGAGCTAATCCAACCACATCCTCATCTAAGTCAATGGCAATATTTGAGTGTTTCAGAATCTCTGGGAGGAAAAGGAAGGCCACTGACTGAAGTAACACAAATGGCTGAAAGAATTATTTCTGCCAGAATCGTTTGTCCACCTTCAGTTCAGAGAACACAAGAAAAAAAAAGTGGGAAAGAGCTACTAAAAATGAAAAGTATTGCTTCGTTCTCTTTGCATCTCTGATCTGCTCCGTTTGTTTTCTGTGCTTTTGCAATGGTTCCTGCATGCTTCCCTTGCAAATCAGAAAAGTTTTTGCAAGGGTCTGTGCTGGCTTGGTTTAAAATGTGTTGGTGTAAAATGTGTGGGTTTAAACGTGTCAGTTTAGCATGTGTTTTAGACTCCAAACTCTCTCCCCCCCCCGTCCTCTCTCTCTCTCTCTCTCTCTCTCTCTCTGTGTCTCCCTCCTTTGCTGCCCTTTTTTAAACCAAAGTCATGTTAGGTTTAAAAAATTTTTCTCCCCCTAATGGTAGAGGCAGATTAACTGGTTTTGCATTAGTTCCTATGGGAACTAATGCTTTGACTTACAAACCGTGCCTTGACATAAGAACAAAAAATAGCCAGAACAAATTAATCGGGTTTCAATGCATTCCTATGGGAAATTTTGATTTAATTACGAACACCATTCCGGAACGGATTAAGTTCATAAGTCAAGGCACCACTGTATGAGTCATTCTTCTGCTTAATTTCTATCTCCTAGGCCAAATTTGGTTCTGTTTTCTACCCTACTAATTATGCATTCTAGTCACCTATGATTATAAGAATGTCTTTGTTTCAGTGTATGATCAGTTATTCTTCTGGATTGTTGCATTAAAGCTTTCAATTTCATCTTCTTCAGCATTGGCAGTTGGAGCACAGACTGGAATGAAGGTTATGCTGATGAGTTTTCCACAAAGTTTGATATTATTTGATCAGACCTTGTATTATAGTCCCTAACTGCCTGTGTTATGTCTTGTCTCAGGATTAGAACCACACCATTTCTTCTGAGTTTGCAATCTCTAAAGTACAACACTCTGTAGTTGCCCAACTGAAAATATCCCATCCCTTAGTTCATTGACATCAAGGACTGCAATGTTTACATGTTACATTTCTTGCTTTACTGTTTCCAGTTTACCTTGATTCATACTTCTCAGTGTTCCATATTCCACTGGATGTGTTATACAATAAACTTTCCTTTCACTTAGCTTTTCAAAAATGTCCCCTCTCATTAACAGCAATGGCAGGGAAACTATGTATGCCAACTCCAACAATCCAGTCCCTCAGACTTTGAGGGTGATATAGGGACAAAGAAGGGGATTTGAATGCAGGGGACACAAGATCTCCCCAAACATGCACTGTTCATCATCATACTATCCACAAAACACCGTGGATAGCATAGTGACAACAGCTGAATGCTCAGTCACAGTACAAAGTTTTCTGCCATCTATGAATCACATTCTCCACTAATGATATAGGACAGCCTGAAGCATCCACCAGCTCCTTGGTTGCTTGCCCTGAGAATCTCAGACTGTTCAGGTAAAATGAAAGTAAATGGTGTCCCACACAAACTACAACATTTAATAGACCAAGACAGGGAGATTTTTCCAAATCCAAGAACTCCACAAGTAACGCTTAGCAACTCACAGTTCAAAGGCTTCTATTCTCTGCTTCAACTCTGCCTCTCGAGTTCTTATTGTTTCAATATCTTTCAACAGGCTTTGTCTTTGTAGATAAATTTCTCTTGCATCAATCTAATAGAAAAACATTGTACATTTAGAACACCCAAAAAGAAGGACCAGCATCAACAAAAATTGTATACAGGTTTCAGAAGACAGGCTATTTGCTGTTTGTACTTTGTTAGTAGTCTATTGCTCAAACTACACATTTCTGTAATTTGCTGGTGAATCCAATTATTATTAGAAAATATGCCACTGCCTTTTGCAAAAGATTACTGTGCAAACAGTTCCAGGAGTTTTTGTAAGTAACTCACAATAAAAGGGGAGAGGGGTTGAAAAGTCAGTAAGAAAAGTAGCAGGAGACAAAGAATGCACATCTACTCCTCAAATATATCATCCTGCATGCTTTTCTTACTCAGCACAAGTGACAACTAGATGGCCAATTTTGCCTCGGCAGAAATGGTACATTAAGTGGCTATGGCACAGGAGATTGTAAAATAACAATCAGATTTCTTGGACACCCGCACACAGACACACAATTAACGCTGCTCCAAAGTGCAGGTGTAGGGCATGCAAGCAGGTAGGCACTGGTCTGCAGCTTGGTTTGACCTCAGGATTTTTCCTGCCACTCCACAGTCCCAGCAAATGGTAGATGGAAGGCTACGAATGGCTTCCTTCCCCTTGGCCACTACACAGGAACAATGTCATTTGCCCTAGCTGTTGAAAGGCAGAAGGCTGAAAAGGGCAGGAAAATTCCCAAGGGGTTTCCTGCCCAGTAGAGACTACAGAAGAAGCTACTAGAGAACCAAAAAGGAAGACTGAGAAGGAGGAGGAGAGAGAACTGGATAGAGATAGAGTTCAACCAAGATAGAGGAAGAGGAGAGTGAAGCTGAGGAACAGCTAATGCACCTGAGTGGGCAAGTCCACTAGTCTACTTTGCTGGACTCTCTTTAACCTTTAAGCCTATTCCAACAGAACCCAGAGCTCTGCAAGGCAGCAAAGGTCATGCGATTTGGTCCATGTCCAAAGAGTACTCATCTTCAGTGGGTCAATAGGAGGTCTGACCTGCAGAATCCAGTGAGACCCCAACTGCCACAGCCACATAAGGTTTATACCCTTTCTGTTTGTGCTTGGGATGCAAGTGGTATCAGGGCTGAAGTAGAACCCACCCAGAAAAGCTGCCACAGCCACACCAACCTCAATCTAAGGAAGGGGAGTTGTCAGAAACAGCTTAAAAGACTGCAGCAGCCGGGACTTGAAATAAGGTTTATACCCTCTCTGTTTGTGCTTGGGATGCAAGTGGTGTCAGGGCTGAAGTAGAACCCACCCAGAAAAGACAAGGCCAATGGACCACATGATGGAGAAAGGTTGACAGAAGTGACCATGGGCCAAACAACACCCTTGTAAATAGTTCTGCAATAAACGTTTATTATGTACACTGTTGGGCATCCCTTATAATGAAAGGCACTACTAGTGGTCTATTTGATGTCTATCTGCTTGTGGACAGATTGAGCACCCTCACAGGTAGATACATGCAAAGCCAGTTCCCACCTCAAACAATTCAACTTGCAAGCAAAATACATAGCCATTACCAAGACATTTCTGACAAGGCTATCTAATCCAAACATGACATCAAAGAATACTGCAAGCTATTCATATGTTATTTAATTGCAACATTTTGAATATGACCTCTTGCTGTTTCTGTAATCGCTGAATGGCATTTCTTTCCCGCGAAGTTAATGCCTCTGACTTGGCTTGGTGAGCTTTTTCCAACTCTCTGCGAAGCTCTGAGATTTCTTTCTGAGACCTTGCTTTCTCATCCATTTTAATTTTGGCTACTTCAACCTCTCTGAAGTGCTGCAACTGTTTAAAATGAAATAGTAAATCTCAGCTTTGTTATGTCAAAACATTAGATCACATCCAAGTGGCTCCTATTAGTCATTGCCACTAAAATGGCCAGAAGCACAAGATGTTCTCTAAATCTCTCGTGCCCACACGGACAACCCTCACAGTGGTTTAAACCCTGGTCCAGCATTGTACCTGCAGAAATTTCCATTGGTGCTTGCCAGGTGCCCTGTCTCTCCTGAAAAATTTTTAAGATGTTTTTAAAATTAAAAAAAGAGTTTTTAGCTAGGAGATTGCCATACTGCAAACCAAAGTCTTAGTTTCCATTCTTTACTCCCAAATTACTCTATATCTCCTATGGGACTCAAAGGCATTCTTAGAAAATAAAAAAGAAGTAGAAACACAAGCAGCTCCCCCTAAAAAGAGGTAAACTGCAGGTGGCAAAGAGTGCCCAGGAGGTGAGAAGGGGGGGACTGGAAAATAAATACAAAAAAATACAAATAAGCCAATGAGCCATAAAAGACTGGGGCCCAGTGTTACACAGATATACCAGCCAGCATTTGATCACTGATTCAAAATTCTGTTTTCAACTCCTACTATAATTCAGGTAGGCTGCCCTTGTGCTTAATGACTGTAAGTACACCTATCCATACCCTACACCTGTCCTTTTTCTTAAAAAGCAGGAGAAAAATCATGGATGGGGAATAGTTTGAAACATGAGCACTAGGAATAGCAGAAGACAATATATAAAACAACTAGTCTCTCTAAAGTACAAATGTTCAGATAAGATTGTATGTTTAAACAAAAATGCACTTGCATGTGTGTCTATAGGAGCTCCACCATTCCATAATACACTTCTCCCTTCAACAACACTGGGGTTAGGGGCGTCAGACCAGGAGTTGGGGACCCCTGCCTTAGAGGGAAGCTTGACTACAAAGCATAAACGGTTGATACTCACTATATTGGGGTTCTCTTCCATAGCACTGACAATTCTTTCCATTCAGTATCATATGTAATAAGCATTAAAGGTCCTTATGATTCCCTAATCTAGAGGCTGAATTAGTTTTGTGTTCGTGGGCAAGCAGACCACTTCAACATCTATGGTGCTGAACTAGGCCCCTAGTTCCGGGTGGCTAGGGGCACAGTATTTATTGGATATTTATTTATTTGGGGGAAAAACATGTATAACCAAAACCATGGTGTGTCAGACCTGTGTAATTCAAAGGAGAAGCATAACTCATCTTCTACACATTCACACGTGCAGCTGTTCTCTCTTCTTCTACAACTACTATCTGTAATCTATGTCAGCGTTTTGATTGCTGGAAGAGAATTTGAGGCAATGGTGATGGTGGGGAGATTCTGAAGTGAACAACAACATGGAAGATCTTGGAGTTCTGATACCACCAGCATTAATGAAAACCTGCCACAGTGTCTAAGGATCAAACTACATAGTATGTGGCCTTATCTCATAATTTATTTTCCTTTTTCCTTAAAGAGGTCCTGGGGGAATTTTTAATGAATGGGCAAACAGATGGCATGAACCAATAGCAAGTGCCTCTTTCAGCTTTAAGGGCAGAAAAAATATCTAGAGACTGAATCAAAAATCTCCTGTGCTTATGTAACAGGGCTTTGGCTAGCCCTTCAGTGTGCAGAACACTCTGGCTTAATACCTGCCTCCATTTCCAGTTTCTCACATTTACAACTACAGAAAACATTATCGAAATCACTTGTTTCCCTACTGCTGCTCATGATACAAGCAGCAATGTCACCCTCTATTTACTCTTATTTTTACTTTTTAAAGGAAAATCAGCAAATAGAGTCAGAAGCTTTACTTGTCATAAGTGTTCACAGACTCACAATCCACAAAAGCTTCTGCCACAGAAAACATGCTAGATTTTAACCTGCTACTTAGGAGATTTGGCTCCAGCAGACTATTATAACTATTAAACAGACAACAGATTTGGGGAAATGCAAACTGTTGAACAGAAACAAGAGCAGAATCCAAAATCACATAAGCATGAAATATTGCTATAATATAATTGTCCTTCCCACCCACCCCTTCCATTGCCACTTACCTTCTGAGACATTTCTTCTTGGATCTGCTGCTCCATTTCTTTTCTGTATTCAGCAAGTTTTACTTGAAAAGGTTCAGACAGATGGCGCTGAGAATACATATCAGCAAACTGCTCATCAATCAGTTGAAGCTTTTCAGCTATTAAAAAAATTCAAAGCACTGTTTTATTACTGAGATATTTCTAGCCTCTGCTAGAAGTTACCAAGGAAAAAAGGGAGGGGAGAAAGCAAACAATAAAACAGGAAACCAGGTGGCTGGTAGTCCAAACCTACATTCAATCAATCAATCAATCATTCAATCAATGAATAAAACAGGAAACCAGGAGGCTGGTAGTCCAAACCTACATTCATTCATTCAATCAATCCTTTATTCCAGCATCCCCCTCACTAATCTTCAATCCAAGATTGATCACTTCCTACTGGTACCACATGTTTCATCTTTTGCACTTGTTCTCTAAAGCACAATCTCACTCATGCTGAGGTGCATGAAGTGAGTAGTCATAAACAGGCACCTCTCATCCTGACACTGAACAAGTTCCTGAGGAACATGGAGAGAGCAAAGGACAGCCAGGTTTTAGGAAGATGCTAACAACACAGTGCCAGAGAATAAGTTGAGGGTGTGGGCATTCATAAATTTTGCATCCTTTGTAGGGAAAGTGGTAGTGTTCACTACTATTTGCCTTGCACTGGTAAGCATATCAGACACCTGAGAGAACCACTGACAGAAAAAGATGCTATTTTCAATGTTTGTTTCCGTTCAGAAAAAAACAAATGATTACCATGTTGGAGTGAAAAGTAGTGTGATAGTGCTCTCCACACTTACAACACAGCAGTATGCCTATGCCTAACAAGCTCCTTGCACATACATTGTTATCAACAGAAAGCAGATTCAGAAGCACCCCCAAACAAAGCTGAACAACAGATACTACATTACTGTCATCGCTGCAACTGGATGCATAAATTATCCAACAATAAACCAATTACAAAACTTCACTTACCCAGGGATTCTTGACCAGCCATAGGAATTGTTTGAGTTTCTGTACTACAGTTTTCCTTAGAGAGGCTGTGTTCTACCAGCTCTGTTAAGACCTGTACAAGAAAGCCTTAGAGATGTACCATTAGTCACACATTTCTTCTGCAGTAAATTAATCTTTCCAACTCTATGTGGAAGAATAAATTAGCAACACCAGCAAAACATGCAAGTTCAACAAATCCAAAAGGATGGTTATGGTGGGGTGTTTTCATAAATGTATCATTGCACACAATCCAAAGGTGAGCATGGATGGTGATGCCTCTACTAGATCACTACAATTACAAACATAAGCTAGTGTTCGACACATACAGATCTCCATGAGGCTGGGCCCCACAGTGCAGTGCATGGTGCAGAAACATTTCCAAAAATCATCAACTATGCAGGCCATATTCCTCTTAAGCCTACATACCTTTAGCATTATCCTTTTCTGAAGCAGTAATCTGTAAGCAGAAAACAATTAAATCAACTACATTCTTTATTATTCACTAAAACTTTAACAACAAAGTTATCCAGATATAAGGTTATTTTACCAGTGTTTTATAAAGGTCAGTCCTTGGATTGATCCTGATCAGCTGTAGCAGATCTTTAACTGTAAGCTCCTTTGTAAGAAAAAAACAAAAATTCTTAATTATGAACTATATTTTACAATCCACACTGTCAAAGAGAAAATTTGAAGCTAGAGCAATAAAATTAAAATGGGACTGGGATGGAAAGTATTGACTTCGCTGGGAAAGCACATATTTTCCATCATGTAAATTCAATTAATTTTCCTTTCTTTTGCCCATCGCCTATTCATGAAAACAGATTCCATTCATCATGTGTTCATCTACCAAATTCAAATCCAACAGACAGCTGTATGATGGAACAAACAGTAATTATAAAATTTTATGAAAGTATACTGCTATGAATTCATTATATCTCTGTAATGTTGCCATTCCTTAGGGCTTTCTTTGCAACTCACATACATAGAATCCTGTATGTCCTGTGATACCTTTTAGCTCCCTTACTATTCCCTTTCACAAAACCCAGGGGAGTCATAAACCATCCTCTGTGAAATCTCGAAATCTTATATATGCTGTCTATATTTTTAATAACAAGTACATTTACCCTCATAGTATCAACATCACTCATTGATCATGCAAACAGTCACACATATATGTAGCTCATCCTAGGCTTTACCATAACATGATTCAAGACTGATTGGTTGTGATACTGAAAGAAACAATTGGTCTTACAACCGCAAGATTCAATTGTCACAGTAACTTCTCCTTTGTTCTTCAGAAAGTTAGTCTATTCAACCATCAGTAGGTTCTGCAAAGGTGATCCTGACAAGAAAGTCTGTACATAGTGTGTATTTGCTGATTATGTCACTCTCCCATTTCTACAGTCCCAGAAGCCTGCTTCTCACAAAACTGGTTTCCCTATCCCCTGCTAAAGGAAAAAAATGTAGAATTTCTGAAACCCATTTTCTAAGCAATATGTGTACCATTAATATGCAGCTCCAAACATAAATGTTTACAAGATCCAAACAGGGCTATTAAGGATAGGACCTTATGGAGGTAACTAATTCATAGGGTCACAATAAGTTAGAAGAGACTTGACGGCACATTATAACAAAACACACTTAAACTATTACCCTTCTAGGTTAGTGGTGATGGTGTAAGCTATCTGGCAGATATGTGCATTGTCCTGTGCTTGTACATACTTTGAGTGCACACATTTAGCTTCCCTTGTAGCTGTTACTATAAGGACCACTGCTCTTCAGCTGGTGAGTTGTGGAAGCCAAGATGTATTGCACCAGCAGCACTACAACCATGCAAATAGATAACACATTCACAAACATACAAAATCTAAACAGGGCTGAGGACAATGAGCTATAACATTAGTTAAAACCATGCTATTTAAAGCAGATTTCAGAAACATCCGCCTCATGACTTTTCGACCCATTACACACAATTATGCATTTGGTGTGGCTGTTGCTTTGAGACTTTTTTCCTTATTATTTGTGTGTGTGTTTTAATTTGTGTGCGCGTGTGCTTTTAACTATTGTAAACCACCCAGAATACTGGCATGACACTAGATGGGCAGTATATACTGTATTTTTCTGTGTATAAGATGCCCCCATATATAAGACACCCACACCCACTTTTCTAACCCAAAATTAAGAAATCTAAGCACGACTTAGCAAAAGGAGGGGAAAGCAGGCACCAAAGCACTGCAGGATCGTTTTGATCCCTGCTTTCCCCTCCACTTTGAGTTCTCTCCTGTATAAGATGACCCTCAATTTTTAGTCTAAAGATTTTAAACAAAAGTATCATCTTATACACGGAAAAAAACAATAAATGCAATGAATAGATGAATACAGACATGCATACATAAAAATATTCAGAGTGCAAATCTCTCAGAAGAGACAGGTACTTACCTTATCCTTTTCCAACCCACTTTCTGGATAGAAGACTGACAGTGAGTATTCATAGCCACATCTGCGCAGGTGATCTGCAACCAGACTGTTTGAAGCACCAATTACCAGTGAACTGCATTCACTATAAACAGCTTGTGGCTGAACTTCTCCACTTAAAACTGGATTCCTCAGCTCATGTATGAGTTGGTTTCGAAGCTGAGTCTGGCAAAAAGAACAACATAGTATAGAAGTGTTCTGCTTAGATACCGCCCTGCAGTGCTTAAACCACTCTGAGGGTGGTTTACAGTTTAATTATGCATGCTCACGCTGCCCCCACAACAAACTGGGTACTTAATTTACAGAGCTGGGTACGCAATTTACCAACCTCAAGAGCATGGAAGGCTGAGTCAACCTTGAGCCAGCTACCTGAATCCACTGGGTTTGAACTCAGGTTGTGAGCAGTTTTGCCACGAGAATATGGAAAAACTGTGTTAAATTATTAAATGAACTTAAAAAGTTTACTTTGCTATGCTGAACTAAAACCAAGTGTTACAGTACATCATTGTCTGTTATGACTTAAAAAGCCAAAATTAAAATTTGATTTGAACAGCCATACAGTAAAGCAAGTAGAATATTGCATTTTTACTGAATCTGGCAGCCTTATTTCCATAAAGGTAGCTAACGGTTTGAAAAAAAAACATTCAAGAATGTTTAAAGCTAGAATTCGGAGCTGAGCAACAGAAGAATATGTACAACAGTGTCCAAGATCTTGGATACAAAATGTCTTCAATCTAAAAATCTTCAAAGTGTAGTCCAGAGGGGTTTTCCAGGATGCTTCACCAGGCTCAAAGGTAACAAAAACCTACTTCTGCCTACAAAAATATCATAACAAATTAATAACATAGTGAAGGTCACTTAGAACGAAGGTCACTTAGAATGATGGCCTCTCTCTGTCACAAGGCACAACTGAAAGTTCAGTTCTAGTTTCTGATATTGGTCAAGAAATTACCTGCTGATCTAAAATACATTAAATTGTTTTATTTTCTTGAATGTGATTTATATCCAGAACCATTCCTCTGACAAAAATCTAATCTGTTCCAGGAATAAATACATGACTGTTTAATTATATCTCAGATTATTTTTCTTACATACCGGTAACTATATTTATAATGCTTGGTAAGGATACATATTTTTGTTAGGGATTGTTTGGAATTTGGTTCTAGTGGCCATTTACAGAGCTGTCCTCTCTGCCTGTGTGTGTGTTTGTATCTGCACGAGCGCGCGCACACAGGCCTATTTAAGTTTTTTAATTGTGCTCTTTTTACAACAGTGAAAAATGAGTTCATCCAACATTGCCAATGATACAACTGACTTTATAAAGATTCAGAATTGAATGTATGCTGGCTTTAATTTATTTTAAATGAAAGACCTTGAGTGTGTCCAAGACACCTCGATTCTTAAATGTCTGATACAGTTTCTTCCGGAGCTCATCTTGTGACAGAGCTTTAAACTCTTCTGAAGACATGAAGATCTGAAAACATAAGAAAACAGAATCACTATTTTACAGACAGTGATAAAACTGATGTTATCATATCTAAACCTGGGTATGTACCCTTTTAAAAGTCACAATTTTCAAAGACAGCCAGGTTTTTCTATTGCAACAAAAACAAAGTGCATTTTTAGTAATAAAAAACCAATAAAAAACCAATTATGGCACAAACATTCATGGATTACAGTCCACTTTATCAGCAGTATGAAATATTAATATGAAGCCTTCATCAAATAAGCATGGGGTGATTAAATAGAAGGATCTCTACCACAGAATGCATGGGAAACCAGCATGGGAAACTCATGTTCCTAGATTTAAAAAATATATAATTTTGATCCCTCACATACTATTCCTTGCTGCCATCTCATTTCCCCTTGGCTTTGTTTTTGGCAACAGTCATATTCAAATCATTAGCACTGCAGTTTTATAGAACTGGAGCCATGCACGCTTTTTAAAGCAGACTTAAAATTACTGATCAACATTTAAAGATGTCAGTAGCATGCATCATTCTTCATGGGATGGGAATCTCAAAGTTGAGGTGGCAAGCAAAGCTGCCTGGAAAATATGATAGTAAAAAAAAAGAGAGAGAAGGTTTTTAGTAAGACTATCATAATTAAAGGCAAAAGTACATTAGAGGGCACCTTATTGACATTTTTGAATTTAATTTAATGCACATGATATTCTAACACAGAGATCTCAGATAGGTTTGATTAAACATTCAGAATCAAGTACAATCAAATACAGTGGTGCCCCGCATAGCGACGTTAATCCGTTCCAGGATTAACGTCGCTATCCAGATTCTTCGCTATGCGGGGGGGGGGGATACAAAGGAAGGACTTAAACTTTGTGATTAATGCGTTCCTATTGGGGAAAAACTCACCCATAAGCGAAGAATCCCTCATCCGGCCACCATTTTTGCTCCCTCGGTAAGTGAGGCGCGAAAACGCTGCAGGTGGCCATTTTCCCCCAGCTGGGCGGCGCTGAAGCCAGCACCACCCAGCTGGGGGGAGAAGGTTTGGAGCCCCTGCGGTGGAGGCTTCCACGGAGGTTGCTCTGAAGCAAGCGCCGCCCAGCTGGGCAGTGCTTGCTTCAGAGCGCCCGCAGTGGAGGCTTCCCCGGAGGTTGCTCTGAAGCCTTTGCCCCCCAGATGGGCAGCGCAGGCTTCGAAGTGCCCGCCGGAGAAGTCTCCACCGCGGTTGCTCGGAAGCGCCCGCCGGTCAGCTGGGGGGAAATGGGGCCTATGGGGAAAAATTGCAAAGCGATTTTTCCCCATAGGAAACATCGCAATGCAATCGCAAAATCCGCATCGCTATGCGGATTCGTCGTCAAACAGGGCGCTCGTTATATGAGGCACCACTGCATACTTAAATGGAATGCCAACAAGAATTACTATGAAGTGCACTGTAACATACACTAAACATGTTCATCCCACTTTTCTAGTTTTCTGACACATGTAGAATAAACAAGAGAAAGAAATGGAGCAATTAAGTGAACAAGCTTGATCCTCAATGGCTGGGGTCAGTACCATAACCATCAGATTCTACCTGCTTTTCCCCCTCACTTTTTGCAAGGGAAAAAGGTGTTTTTTTAAAAAATCCAGTCAGGAAAACCAGAGGATCAGATAATGTCCCTTGCAATGCCACAGTACAAAACCAGTCCAACACCCCCCCATCAGCTTTCAAGATTAGCTGCTGAGACTTATCATAGAATTATAGAAAATTGAAGTTGAAAGTTGGAAGACATGAAGTCCAACCCCCTGTGCAATGCAGGAATGTAATCAAAGCATATCTGCCAGGTGATTATCTACATTTTTCTTGAATGCCTCCAGTGTTGGAGCATTCACCAACTCCCGAGGTAATTGGTTCCACTGTCGTACTGCTCTAACAGTTAGGAAGTTTTTTCTGATATTCTACTGAAATCTGGCTTCCTTTCACTTGAGCCCATTGTTGCATGTCTTGCACTCTGGGATGATCAAAGACCCCCTCCTCTGTATGACAACCTTTCAGATATTTGGAAAGTGCTTTCATATCACCCCTCAGTCTTGTTTTCACAAGGCTCATCCTTCTTGAAGTCTGGTGTCCAGAATTTCATTCAGAGATTTCCACATCACATGCAGTTGTCTCCCTAACAGTTCTCTCTCTCTCAAAAAAAATTGAAAACATATATACATAGATCAAAGAAAACCCATGTGAATTTAATTAGGTCACTCATACATGTCTAATTCAGCATCCTGGTAAATCAGGTGCATATTCTTTTTCTCTTGGAGGAGCTAATACTGCCAGAAGACAGTTAGAAATATTATCATCTGCCTACATGACACAACTTTTTTGCCTAGTTCAGCATCTGGGATTGCCAGGCACAAGCACTTTTAATATAGTTTGCTTTGTTCTTACAAAAAGATTCTAGCTCTGCAATTCTATGCTGCTGCTGATGGTTCCCACCCCTTTTCTTTTCTATCATCTCTCCCAGCTTTATAGGCTGATGCGGCTTTTCAAAAAACGTAGACCTGTGATTCCAACCTTCGGTCAGCCGTGGTGTTCTTGAATTGCAATTCCCGGATGCCTTCACTGCCAGCTATGCTGGCCAGGTTTCTGGGAGTTGCAGTCCAAGAACACCTAAGTTACCAATGGGAACCATTGCCCTAGTGGTCCGCAACCTTTTTGAGACCATGGACCAGTTGGGGGGACGGGCTCCATGCACGGGAGCAGGAGCACCCCCACGCTCACAGGGGGTGTCACACTCGTGTGCATGAACGCTCATGCAATGTGCCCCTTCATGAGCATGACACACCCACCGTGTGTGCAGGGCGGGGAGAAGAGATCTGTCTCCATGGCCCAGTTCCAGCAAGGCCACAGACCGGCACTGGGCTGCGGACCGTGCATTGGGGACCCCTGCCCTAGACAACTATCAAAATGTCATCTTCTATGACTATTATTGGAATTCCAACAACAGTACTACCTGCGTTTTCTCAGAGTGGCTTTTTTGTATACTTATTTATCTTTGCCTTAACACTGCCTGGTAATGTTGTAAGACACCTCCTTATTCACAGTTTCTAGTTTTTAATATTGTCTTTTAATTCCGTTAACCACCATTTATATACTCATTGATTTCAACCTTAAATATCATCTTTCATTGTTTGTAAGCCGCCTTGGGTCCTTTTTCAAGGAGAAAGGCGGGGTAAAAACATTTCCAATAAATTAATAAAATGAATTCCCAGTACACTGTAATGGACAGAGTAACGGACTAGGACTCTGGGGCCCAAGGTTTGAATCCCCCCCTTGGCCATGGAAACTCACTGGGGGAGTGGCATTAGTAAAATCACTTCTTAAATATCTTACTTATCTTGAAAGCCTTATTAAGCTCAGTCTAAGTCAGTACTAACTTGTTAACCCAGAACACAGAAACTAAGGCTCTACCGAGTAAGCAGGGAAGCAACAATACAGAACACCTTCCCCCTTCACGCCCATTTCCAAAACAAACCATCTAGTATTTCTTCGTTTTCTAAAGCTGACACCGGCAGCGCTTTTCACACAACCTGGAGAAGGGGGAAATGCGCCAGGCATTCCGGGAGAGCTTGGAATGTCATGGGGGAAGGAAGAGAGAGAGTCCCTGAGTTACCGCAGGCATCATTCAGCAAAGAGCCTCTGACTCCCCCGTCACCTTTCAAACACCGTGTGGTACAAACAGAAACGAAAAAAAACCAAAACACACCACAGCCCAAGGACGACGACCGGACACTGCGGCGTAACCGAGAAGATATTGAGCTACCCTAGTGACGGGCAGCGCATGCGGAAACACTCTCCTCAGGGCCCCGCCCCCAAGAAGCCCCGCCCTCTCAACCGTCTCTTTCAGTGCAGTGCCCTCTTCCGCGGAGGTCTGTTGCCGCCGCTAGCTCTACTGAAACTCTCGCGAGAACGTGCTGAGGGCGGAATCGACGCCAGCAGGCGGTATGATGTCATCGAAGCGCGCCGGATGTTTTGGGTGGAGAGGAAGTCTGTGTTGGCTGGCTGGTTGATTCTGAGGACCGTTTCTAAGGTAGGTTCTCTCTCCCCCCTCACCGGCCAGCGCGCCTTTTCCCCCCTCTCTCTTTTAAAGGGAACCTGGGGTGGAGGAGGTTCTTCTGAATGATAGAAGAGTTAGCGGGGAAAGGGTAGCTGTGGATGCTCGTTTTATGAGCCGTATCCCCAAGGCCTGGGGGACTTCTGTAAAAACGGTCGGGTGCTTTTTCTGTTTTCGTTCTGTGCCGTCAAGTCGAAGTCAGTTGATAGGCGATGCCAGTAAGGCTTTCAAGGCGAGATATTCAAAGAGTGGTTTTACCAGTCCTGCCGTCACCACCTGTGTGGCTTTCTTGGCCCAGTGGGGATTCGAACCCAGGCCTCCTGAATCCTAGTCCGTTACCCTGTCTTCAACACCGCATTGGGTAAGTTGTTTTTTATTAGAAGCACGAAAAAATAAGGATGGAGAATTTTCTGTAGGAAAAGGTAACATAGTAGGTAGCCATGTCAGTCTGTAGTAACAATTTAAACCAGAAATAATCGTATAGGACCTACAAAACTAACTAGTTTTTAATTTCTGAAGGCACACTTGATCAGATGAATGGAGAGGCTGTGTCTTCAGAAGACGTGTGGTTAGACGTAGAAAAGCTTATGAAAAATAAAAATTGGCTATTTTTATCTGTGCTACATGACTATTTCTGGTACTAATTTAGAACGGGTCTTGAGAACTCTATTCTAGCAGTTGCATTTTGATAGGAAAAATTCCCCAAGAGATCTGGTTGGTTGGTTTTATCAACCACCTTTCTCCCAATAAGCAGATCCAAGGGATCTCACAATACTAAAAAAAATAGAATTAAATACATAGTAAGATAAAAAAAAGTTAAATTAAAAACATAATAAGTTAAACAGTTCCTAATAGAATTAAATACATACTAAGATAAGAAAAAGTTAAATTAAAAACATAAGTTAAACAGTTCCTCTGGTATCCTTTTTTTTTTTTGAAGCTGCATACAGTTCTGAAAATGATGATACTAAAGGTACCTAAATGTGAGGAAAGTCTCCCTCTCCTGCCCAAAAGCAACTGAGATTTCTCATATTCTAAGGTTTTTTATATCAAAACTTTGGCAAAGACAATAATAATTTTAGAACTGCAGAGTAGGAAGAGATCCGATGGATCACCCAGGCCAGCCTATGTCAAGGAAGCACAGTGGGGAATCAAACTCCCAACCTCTGGCTCCTTAGCCATCAGATACCCAAGCCTCTGAACTAGGAGTTTTCTTATTTTTGCTGCTTTCTTCATCACAGTGGAACATGGGCTCCTGTTGTTGGAGATCAATGATGACTGTTGTTTGGTTGGTGTGTGAGAGATAAAGCAAAATTCAGTAGCAGTACATCTTTTATATCCAGTTGGTGTACAAGCGGATGTTAGATTACATTTCTGTGCCTTCATACTGGCTGAGGCTAATTGGCGTTGAAGTGTAAAACATGTAGAGAGCATTGGTTAGGGGGAGGTAGGCTTAAGCTGTAGAGATGTGTGATATTTTTCTGGAAATTTCCATAGAACAGTTAGTGATAAGATTTAGTTAGATATGATTTATGCTGTGGGATACTTTGACTGAATCTCTGTAGTTTGATGTAGTATGTCATAAGTGCAGTAAGCCCCTTCAGTCCGTGGAATTTTTGGAGGAAATGGCTCACCAAATCCCCACTGATTCAATGGGCCTATTCCAGTTGTGACTTAGTAGACTAAGCAACAGGATTTAAGTCTTTGCCTTCATTGGGATGGAGTAAACCTGTGTGACCATTTCCAACTATATGATCTGTTCTTTTTCAGAAGTGACAATATTTTTATCATGTCTGGAAGCTTCTACTTTGTAATTGTGGGTCACCATGATAACCCAGTGTTTGAAATGGAATTTCTACCTGCTGGTAAAGTGGAGTCTAAGGTGTGCAATGTCGTTTAGATACTGTACTTGTACATAGTATTAAGCAGAGACCTGATGATTAATTTGAAACTACTACTTAGTTCTTATTTAGATTTGTTACCTTTGAAAATATTAACAACCCAGTCATTATATCAGAATATCTGAGATGTCCTCTTTAGTATCAAGCTAATATCAATGTAACATTTTCTAATCTGGATTTAATGCAGTTGTCTAAAAGCAATCATATTTTTCTTACATTCCAAGCTATTCCTAAGGAACAGCAACAAGTAGTAATGACTTCCATAATTAATATATTTTGTGTAAGCATAAGTTTGCATTTTGGTATGTATAAGCTCCTTTAACTGGGATACTGTAGTTGTGCATAATAGATACTATATTCTGCTCCTGATGAAGCATTCAGATATACACTAGGTTAATAGCTTACTGGGTTTGCTAAACGTTGTGTAGTTTTTATCTATTGCTGGGAAAAGAAATTGTATACTGTACCTGGCTTCAGAGCCATTTATTTTATCCTTTATTCTGTTTTTGATGCTAATTTCTTTTTCCCTTTAGGATGACCATCGCCATCTCAATCAATTTATAGCTCATGCTGCTCTTGATCTAGTAGATGAGAATATGTGGCTGTCTAATAATATGTATCTGAAGACTGTGGATAAATTTAATGAATGGTTTGTTTCTGCCTTTGTCACTGCAGGACATATCCTTTTTATGCTGCTGTTACACTAATAAGGAAGTTGGTGGACATTGGCTTGACACATTTGTTTAGTTTGTAACTTGGCTCTCAAATAGAAGACTTTCTTATATTTAGAGACAGGACCAGAATCCAGTAATCTTGCTGGAGAAGGGATGGACTGGTAATGCAATTTTAGCTGATTCTTGTAAAACCCATTCCCATTGTACTGGAGAGCCCCCAGACTCTTCAGAGGATTTCTAGTAGAATCTGTGAAAATTGCCTTCTGCTGTGGGGAACATCATCTGAATGGCTTTCTTGGTTTGTAAGCCATAATGGGTAGAGATTGCAGCCTTTGCTTGGAGTATTTTTCAACATCATGTAACACATTTTCTGCAAGAATTGTGCTGGCTAGTACTGAGTTTCAAGGTTTTGTTACTGATATTTAAAGTGAGGTTACCTTTAGTATCATCTGACCTCTGCACTCTTGCCTGTTCAGTGCACTCTTCAGGAGAGGCATGTTTGTTGGTGCCTTGGGCTCCAAGAACAGAATTTTAGTGTTGCAGCTCCTGCTTTGTAGAATTCCTTGTCCATTAACATTAAGTATAAACAGTTTTGCATTTTAAGCATCTGCTTAAAACATAATCTGATCATTTAACCTTTCCTTGTCATGTGACCATCCATCTATGTTAGTTTACTGATTATGTTTTATAGTCTCTGCTTTTATTAATTTTAATATTATAGCCCATCTTTATTTTCAGTGGCATCCTTATTTGTAGAAACAACTCCCTATTTTCTTAACTTGTTCTACATATGAGATTTATAATGCTTCATGATGTAAGGCAGGAAGATGGCATCAAGAACTTCTTTAGTGATGTCTATGATCTGTATATAAAGGTGAGCATATTGTTCTACACACACAAGAAAAACAAGCTGTGGTAAGTGGGACTATTTGTTTGGGAGCTTTGTGAACAAGTTGAGGCAGCACATGTAAATAGTTGAAGGGGTGTAGTTTACATCTTCAAAAGGACAAAATGTTTAACGCTAGTACACCACACCCATCCCAGTGATGGGTTGGTTATATCCAATAATATACTCCACTGCATTTGTAAGAAGCTGTTGATCGTACAGGAAGGTGAATACATATCCTTCAAAGTGGTGGTAAGTTCCATCTTGTGCTGAGAAAGTAGCATCAGTATTGTGAGTTGTTACTACCTATACATACCCCTCTGAAACCCCTTGTTGCAAAGTAGAAGCAAGACTGATTTGTTTTCTGGTGATTCATATCAAGAAGTTTAAAAATTATGGCCATCACCTCTTCAAATCGAAGTACAATATATAGTAAAACGAAAGGGCTGTAGTTTAGGTCTTGACACTGGCCTTGTCTAGCAAGCATTCTGAACTAGTTGAATATCATACTAAGAGTACAGTATGTAAGTGCACAAAAACATATTAGTCAGTCCTAGTTTGGTCTAGGCATTTTAGCAAGTATTAACTAGATGTTCTCATGATATTAATAAACTTCTTTCCTCAGTTTGCAATGAATCCATTTTATGAACCCAACTCTCCTATTCGATCAACTGCATTTGACAGAAAAGTTCAGTTTCTTGGAAAGAAGCATCTTTTAAGCTGAAATGGTGTAAACATGTTGAAAATTCAGGTGTACCCAACTGTATATTTGACATTCATTGAACCTATGAGGACCAATCCATTACCCAAAGACTCAAGACATTTCATTACCAGGTATGAGAAGTAGGACAACTTCAGGAATCTCTTATGCTGATGGATCACTTTAGTCATTTATCTGTATATATCAAACTAAAATAAATGCTAAACACTAGTCAAAGATGTTTTCCATAATACTGCTGCTAATATTGTAAAATAAATGAGGAAACTAGACCTTGCTTTTTCCATGGCAATCTGCAGAGATTTAAAGAACTTGTCCTTTGCTCTTTAGTCCAAAAGGCTGTCAGTGCAGCTTACTGAGATAAGAATCTTCTATAGAAAAGATTCAGTGTAGGGCTGTATCAGTGTAAACCCAGATACTAGAATTGTGTGTTGCAAGAAAAATAATTGTGCAGAACAAGAGAAATTTAAATACTCCTAAACAGGAATTTAGAAGTGAATCTGACTGCAATCCAATTTACTTCTTAATTGAGATCAGCAAGTGACTCCACATAGGTGGTCATTACAAAACATTTTTGGAAATGGCTTAATCTAAACTGATTCAGCATTTGCCATAAATTCTACTTTTTGTGACATGTTCAAGTATACACTACTTGATGGGTGACATGCAAATTGTGTATAGAAAGTTGAGTTTTCTGAGAAGTTGCCGTACCTTACAACCCAAGGTTACTTTTCTGAATTTTAAAACTAGAACTGTTCTCAACTATCCCAGTTCTCAAGTGTACACTGAGTACAGTCTACCCATGTTAAGCACTCACATACATAGTAACATAAGAGACTGTAATCAGGCTCCATGTACAAGGATTGTAGCTTTCAGCCTGAAAGAATTAAGGAAGAAACCAACATTTGTAGGTAGTGTGGCTCAGGCAATACCCTTACATTCCCTGTATTTGTTTACATGTTTTACTTACTAATTTGCTTAAGCATCGTACATTTTGCTGTGCTACTTTCCTTTTGAAGTCTTTTTGCCTGAAAAAACTCGAATTACAAATTGTGCTAGATTATACATTTGCAGAGAATGTTAATTAACCTACCAAGTAAAATAATTTAAAATGCTGAAATATTTCTGTACATTGAAATTCTTTAAAGTGGACATTAAGTTTCTATCAACCTATTTTTTTTCTATTTTTGAACAGCTGCCTTGATGTTCTATAACTTAGTAGTAGGAAAAATCTTCAACAATGCAAACACCAGAAGAAATGAGAGATATTTTGTGGTTTATGGAGAAAATTTCAGAAAAATGAAACAGCAGAATAAGGGCACTTCAAAAGCTTCTAGTATTTTATTTATTTATTTATTTATACCCCGCCTATGTGTTCAAAATGACCACTCTAGGCGCCTTTCCTTTTGAATGAACAGGGACAAAAGCTTTTTTTTAAATCAAATTACAAGTTTCATCAATTTCATTGTCATCCAAGTACTGTTTTGATAATTTTTAAGTGAAGTAATTGTGAAATTTTAGTTTTCTAGCTCATTTACAATACCTAAGCAAGCATGTACATATAAGTCTAGCAACTGTCTGGCATATGTTGGAGTGGGCAGTGTTCATGAAAACACATTGCACAGGATTTGATTCCCAACCTTTATAAATATACAGAGTTTATTCAGTTGTTTCTCATTGAAAACCCTCAAATCTTGCGAATCAAATACATGTTAGGTCAAAATTGTGTCGGGCTAAATAGTTGATTGAACATTGATTATAAAATTAAAATAGGGTCAAAGGGAAACTATTGTAATGAGCCCTGAAAACTAACATTTTAAACAGTATTCTCACATTAATTAAAAAAGCACTTGCTACAACACTTTTTTCCTACTGCTAAATGTCCAGTTATAGTTCAGTCAGCAAGCTGCTGAGGCTGCTAAAACTCAGCTGTTTTCCAGCAGAGCTGTTGTCTGTTGGCCATCAAAGGATAAGATGATCTCCCAAAGGGGGGAAGAATATACACAAATCCACACAGGCTCTGCATATGCAGCTTTATTTCCTAACTTAAAATCTACAGGTAATTCAGTGACAGCAGGCAAATACGAAAAGATGTTAGAGTGTTCATATTAGCTCAGTCTTTTAAAAAAATCACAATAAGGATGGACAACTAGAACAGGACCCTAATACCTACTATTATTGCTCTAGAAAAGAAAGGCTTTAGTGAAGCAAAACAGACTAGTATTCTCATAAAAATATACATTTACATATAAAAATTCTGTTCGGCATCTGAATTTCAGAACAAGTCCCCCAAGTAGTGCTTCTACAACCTTCAAGTTTTAGTATATAATTTATTGATTTTCAAATGACATATTTAAATAAAATGAATTTTTGAGTTGGTACCTTTCTAGGTGTCAGACACTCTAATATAGCAATAGGTCACTTATGGAAGAGGAGCCCTCCTCTGCCAAATACATAAAGCAATAAAATATTACAACTTAGTATATTAGAGTGGCATCCACTGAATATTATTTTATTTATTATTCCAAGTTAAGTTAGAATGATACATGGCCAAGAAAGAAAATGTAAGTAGTCAACAACATGATGAGCTAGGCTTGGGCTTTTGGTGAAGATTTATTGTATCAGTTTGAATCAAGTGATCTGACCTATCATCAGTGGCAAGAACTCTTCGAACAGCTTCCTCAAAAGCTGCTGCAACATTAGTGGCATCTTTTGCACTGGTTTCAAAATAAGGATGATTGCCATTGTTTCTGCACCAAAGCTGGGCTTCTTCTGTAGACACTTGCCTTTCAGGTATATCAACTTTATTACCAAGTATCACAAATGGAAATGTTTCAGGCTCTTTCACATCTGCATAGTAAATGAATTCTTTCTTCCAGTTACTGAGGTTTTGGAAGCTTTGAGAGTCATCTACACTGAAAGTGAGGAGGCAACAGTCAGAACCTCTGTAGAAAGGAGTCCGTAAGCTCCTAAAACGTTCTTGACCAGCAGTGTCCCATATCTGCATTGTAACAAAGTGTCCATCCACTTCCAAGTCTTTATTTAAGAACTCTACACCTATTGTATGGAACAGCTGGGTATCAAACTTGTTAGTCACATATCTGTTCATTATTGAACTCTTCCCAACACCTCCATCTCCAAGCAGGATTACTTTAAGGAGTGATGATTTTGCTGCCATTGGTTCACGAACAGATGCTTTTCAATGTCCAGTTCTGCAAGATAAAGAAACCTAATTCATACCTTATTATTTCCTTACACATACATTGCAATACTGGTCAAGTGCCCACATAGTGATTAAATAAACTGTTAATCATTTGCTTGCTAAAACTCCCACAAGGAATTTATTTTAATGAAATTACACATAATCCATGAGTTAGTCAGAAATTTTCCTACTATTCAAATTTCATAGTATTCAAGATTTTCATCCAGTGAGACACATCTGAAGATCACTAATACCATTAATGCAACTCTTTCCTGCTTCTTCATTTAGCCACTCTAAAGCATCTGTCACATAGATTCAGGACTTACTTCTAAGGCTGTATTATCCCTAAAGTTGGCCTGAAAGAGTGTTTCAAGGAAGAATAAATGACATGGGAAACTGAGCAATTTAGGAACTTCTCAGTGCTTTCCCTAATCAATTTCTAAACTGGTAATGCCAGTTTACAGAGCCACTTGAAGACATGTATCTGATAGAATATAGATGCATAAATGCAATTGGAGGAACACAAATTCTTCAGAACAAATTACCAGCTCATTTATGATTGATTATGTATATTCTGGAAACAATTTTCTGAAACAGCTGGGTAAGTGCGCTTCAAATAATATGAACTGCCCATACAATAGGAAAATAAGTACACACATGGCTGGGGTGGGTATCTGCCACATAAAGTGTACACAAAATTGTGCTATGCTAGTTTAAGTGGTTCATAGTAAATCTACACATTTTCTGTTTTAGCAATTGAGGGATATAAACTGATCAAAAAGAACAGAGAATAAAAAGGGAGGTGGAGTTACAGTATTTGTCAAAAATAACATATTCCTGCTCAGAAATACAGGAGGAGGAGAGTGGCTGTCCCATCAAGAGCATTTGGATCAATCTAGTTGGGGCAAAAAAACAAAAGGTGCTTGGTAGTTGGAGCCTACTATCGACCGTCCAATCAAAGAGAAGAAGCAGATGGAACTTTTGGAAAGAAATTGCAGGGTTTTCGAAAAGACACGACATAGTGATGGAAGATTTCAATTATCCAGATATATGTTGGAAGGCAAATTCTGCCAAGTATGGCCCTTAAAAGAAATTCCTGGCTTGTGTGGCTGATAATTTTTTCCTACAAAAAGTGGAGAAAGAAACTATCCTTGACTTGATTCTGACCAACAAAGATGACTTGGTAGGGGAAGTGGCAGTAAGGGGAACTTTAGGTGAGAGTGACCATGTCCTTCTAGAATTCTTGATTTCAACGGAAACAAAAGCAGAGTGTAGCCACACAGACGTCTGCTGGATTTTTAAAAAGCCAATTTAAATAATCTCAGAACAAGGATAAGTAAGGTCCCATGGCAGGAGATCCTAACAAGAAAAGGAGTCCAAAAATGGTGGGAGCTTCTTTAAAAAAATCTAGAGGCACAACTACAAATAATTCCAATAAGAAAAAAGGGGGAAGGAGACAAAAAAAAGGCCAGTATGGCTTCACAAAAAGCTCAGGGAGGACTTATGTACAGGAAATGGAAAGGAGGCCAGGCCACCAAGGATGAGTACAGAGAAATAGCAAGGAAATGCAGGGAGGGCAAAAGCTGAGAATGAGCTGAGGTTAACTAAAAGCAAATCCATTATTTTCTTGAAATCATAGGAAACGGGTGAGGTACCAGAAGACTGGAGGACGGCCAATGTTGTCCCTATCTTCACAAAGAGCAAAAAAGAGGAACCTGGGAACTACAGGCCAGTTAGCCTGACATCAATCCCAAGCAAAACTGGAACAGAACATAAAAGTGGTCATTGTGCAAGCACCTAGAAAACAAAGTAGTAATAACTAGAGGACAAGTCGGATTTGTCAAAAGCAAATCCTGCCAAACTAATTTGATCTCGTTTTTTGATCAAGTCACCTCCCTGATAGACAGAGGTAGTATATCTTGTAGACATAGTATATCTTGACTTCAGCAAGCTTTTGACAATGTGCCCCATTATTCCTGATTTGCAAGCTAACTAGGTGTGGGCTGGAAGTGTCAGGTGGATACACAGCTGGCTACAAAATCCTACTCGGAGGGTGATGGTTAAAGGTCCTTCTCTAACTAGGAGGAAGTAACTAGTGGGGTACCCTAAGGCTCAGTCCTGGGCCCAGTGCTCTTCAATATTTTTATTAATGTCTTGGTGGAGTGAGTGCAGGGAATGTGTGTCAAATTTGCAGATGATACCAAATTGGGTGGAATGCTAATACTGTAGAAGACAGCAACAAAATGCCCTTGACAGGATGGAGCACTGGGCAGCAAGCAACAGAATGAAATTCAACAGGGATAAGTGCAAAGTACTGCACCTCAGAAAAAGAAACCGATTGCATAGTTACAAGATGGGAGATACCTGGCTCAGCAAAACTAGGAGCAAGAAGGATCTTGGAATTGTCTTAGATCACAAGCTAAATAGGAGCCAACAGTGTGATGTGGCTACAAAAAAAGGCTAATGCTGTTTTAAGCTGCATTAATAGAAGTATAGTTTCCAACTCCTGCAAGGTGCTAGGCCCCCTCTATTCAGCACTGGTCAGGCCTCATCTTGAGTATTGTGTCCAGTTCTGGACACCAGACTTCAAGAAGGATGCTTAAAAATTGAAGAAGTTTAGAGGAGGGCAACAAGGATGATCAGGGGGCTGGAAACCAAGCCTTATGAGGAAAGGCTGAAACAACTGGGCACGATTAGCCTTGAGAAAACAAGACAAGGGGTGATAGGACAACACTTTTCATATACTTGAAAGGCTGTTATACAGAGGAGGGACAAGATCTGTTCTTGATCATCCCAGAGTGCTGGACACGCAACAATGGGCTCAAGTTAAAGGAAGCCAGCTTTCAGTAGAATATCGGAAAAACTTCCTAAATGTTAGAGCAGTATGATAGTGGAACCAATTACCTCGGGAGT